CACGCATTAATCTCCTTGTTGTGAATGAATTGAATGTGCATCACATGATTAACTTGAACTTATTGCCCTACGTAACCTTACCGACTACAAGAGGTTAGAATGATTTAAAGAGATCCTGTCATTCAGCACAGTATCAGATGAAGCCTACATGGCAAGACTTGGGAGGAAGGCAGCTCAGAACGTGTGGGGAGTCAAATTAACTGGAGCACTCTGCACAGGACAGTTACACAAGCAGCATTTACATATCTGCGGAAAAGATGTGAGTTCCTCCACTTCAAGCCCGTGCTTTAAATCGGAAGCCAGAGCAATACACACACACATTGATAGCAATCACAGCACTACACAAACTCACCAACAATTCACTGAAAAAACGAGTAAAAGATGGAATACCTCCGTGAAAAGCACACAGCTGATGTGTAATTCTGATCTATTTAGAGGTATCCAGAAGTCGTTAAAAGCAGACCTAATGCCAAGTGACCCAAGGCTCAGCGCCTTGGGATCTCCTCCCGACGCGAAAGCCACGATATAGACCAATGTAATTTTGTATTGTACTGTAAATACAGACATGTCTGATTTGCATTGTTACAGCTCCTTAAACCATTGGGATTAGTTCCTGACCCTGACCAGTCAGAGGAGTGAAACTCCTCCTGTTCTTAGCAAAAGGTAAGAAACATTTCAGGTCTCTGGCATTTAAACAGCAACACTCCTGCCGCTTGAAAATCCTTATGCAGCCATACGAGAACCCACATTCAGTTAGTTTATAATCAAAACCTGATTAGCAGCACTACGGAGGAGGCCCTCGGACGATTGCTCACAAAGGTCAGCTAAAAATAATATCAGGGCCAGAACGTTGCGTCAGCTGAACTTTACCTCTGGCAACATTCCCCTTAAAGCAGAAATATTCTTAAAACACATTTTGTTCAGAAAAATGCTGTTGTCATCAAGTTGACACAAAAAGGCCTCAAAAAGTAAGTATAGAAACTCAAGGCTAGGCTCGAAACTTCAAATCCATCTGGACTGAAACCTCACCGATTTGGTTCGGAGTATGATCTTTAAACCACTACTATGTAAAGGCAGAGGCTGCCAATGGATTCAGTCTCCAAGCTAGAAATGGTCTCTCGAGTCCACTAAGCTGCCTCTTAAAATGTTGTGTTACTGAGGTCTGTTGTAGGATGATCTTCTTCACAACAAAACCTATTTAATGAGCAGAGCTTAAAATGACCTGAGTTTGGTTAGTGGAGCTCTGCTGTACCACCAGTGACAGACAGAGCTTTGCCGTAGTTTATTTTGCCAAGCTGGGTGTCTGATACTTGCGGACACCCAACATCGTGCTTAAGAGTACCCAAACCAAACAACAACAAATTGCATTTGTAAAGCGCCTTTCATGTCAGGAAGACGTCTCAAAGCAGGGGACAAGTCGGGGATTTGAACCTGCGCTGAGAGTTGGAGGGATGGGACGGGAAGATGACCACAGTCAAGGAGAATGGTCAAAGAGGAAGGTCTTGAGACAGACCTTGAAGGAGGAGAGGGAAAGGGCAAGGCGAAAGGACTCTGGAATGGAGTTCCAGAGAGTGGGGGCAGAAAGGCTGAAGGCCTGACAGTGGGGCGGGCAGCGTAGGGGACGTGAAGTAGGCCAGTGAACAGTTTCACACCTATATGCCATCTGCATAGAAATTTGTAAACGTTACTGGAATAGAATACACATTATTTCCCAGGAGGAACACAACTTCCTTATCCAGATGTAGAGAACTTTAGGATCAGGGTGGCAACCTTAAGTTTTCTCCACATCTAGATAAGCAAAGCTCGGGAACCCTACAGTGTTCGGGTTCTGTGGGAGTCTAAACAGGAGCTGAGTGGGAATAATTCCTGCCCCGGCGACCATGGGGTCTGCCCCTGAAGTCCTGCCAATGTAATCGGCAATGGCCTGGAGTACTGCTGATCCGCCTGGGTCAGGAACTGGACTACCTCGAGAGGGATCTTCTCTAGTTTCTCTCCACCTGCTCCTTTTTGCCAGTGGCAGTGACTCAGTGTAGGGCACAATTCCACAAACTACAGAAGCCACACCTCATGCATGTAGCCACCCTGTGGTTTCAGACAGAACGCTGCTGGCAGAATATTCAGGTACAGCTGAGCTCAATCCATCCTCATCCGATGTCACTACATGTGCTCTTTCCTCATCTATTGGCCACACACATGCATTTTTTAGCAGAGGTCAATGAATGGCTATCTGGAGTACGAAGTGTATACATATTTTTCCCCCGGCCAGGCGACAACCAGGTCAGTTAAAATACCTGTTAGATCCACAGCCTATATCTGCCAACTGGACCCTGACCAAGATGTCAGATGTGACACACATTTAGAATTTTATTTTGGAAGATTAAAAGGCACAAACAAAGAATTATCTCATGGAACTGCATTATAACTTTTTCCCCCCAAAATAATAATACTAATATAATAATAATTCTTGCATTTGATATAGCGCCTTCTTGAGACATCTCAAAGCGCTTCACAGAATAGACTGTAAAGTGAATTGACTGTGCATTTTGTGGGCGAAACGCGGCAGCCAATTGCACACAGCAGTGTCCCAAAAACTGTCATGGATTGAGTGAACAAATTATTATTATTTTTTTCGAGGGATTATTACCCCCGGTTAGCAATCCGCCAATCGACTGACAACTGGTAGAACCAGAGGACACAGCCTGTGATTTAAGACGTGATAAGGCACTATATCAAAAGCAAGTATTCTTATTCTTGTTAATTCAAAACCAATCTGTGGAATTTCAGTGAGAGAGTGGTAAATCCTTAGGGAGATGTTGGAAGCAGATAATGTAATTTCATTCAAATACAAATTAGATAGATTTCTTTTAGAAAACACATTTTGGGGTACAGTATATGAGTAATTTGAGACATGACAAGTGTGGTATGCTTGGACGACAAGGTAATTTGGGGTCTAATGTTCCCCAAACTTTCCAATGTGTCAGTAGACTAATCCACACAGAATTAATTGCTACATCTTCACTGATCTAGCACATGACTACCATGATGGTAGAAGGCAACCAGATGAACCTTGGTCTTTTTTTTATCTAGCAATTCCCATTGTAGTGTTCCGAAAGCAAACATGGCCAAGACTGAATGACAGACCTTTTTGCTTTTTTGGCAAAAAGAAAACTACTCATCACAAACCAATGCATTTCTCCTGAAAAATAATTCGAAAATGCTGAGTTGGATTCACAAATACAATTGTTAAAAGTCTTAATTGGAATATTTCTTATACTTTAGTGAAAAGCACTGTCTTCAAGTAAATATTAACTTCAGAAAATTCCCATTATAAAACCTGGTTAAGATAAGACTTTTGAAGTGAATCGTTTGTAGTGAATGAAGACCCCAATTTTCACAATAGCCCCACATTATTGTGACTTACAGACACTCAAGGAAAACTAAGTTATTCAAAGTATGGGTATCACCCATAAAATACACACAGTCACATCACTTTGCAGTGTAACCTGTGAAGCGCTTTGAGATGTCTTGTCATAAGGAGTTACAAAGGCAAGGATTATTATCATGCCTGAAAATATTCAGAGCAGCAATAACTGAGAGCTTTCTTGCCTCATCAACTATTAACTGATAACATAGAAAGTCGTATCTACTATCTATCTCTTCGGATGAAACCATCCAAATCATTGAATGACGTGTTGAGAAGACTGAACAATTGTCATGTGCCGGAACAAACCGAAGCGGTCATGCGCATGCATTCCAGTCATCCCTTTTCCATTCACCTCTGGGTTATAAAGCACAACACAAAAATAGCTACCTAGCAAAGAAGGGCACCTGCCAAACCGAAGTCATAAAGGCTGTCTGCGTGTTATAATCAATGAAATGCGAATACATTGCTCTTTCCCTGCCCCGATTAGAAATTAATCCTAGTTAAAAAACAACCATCGCTTACGATGCTGAAACCCTGGTCCGTGCCTTTGTCACCTCTCGGCTGGACTACTCCAACGCCCTCCTCGCCGGTCTCCCCTCTACTACCATCCATAAAATCAAAATCATTCAAAACTCTGCCGTCCACATTCTCATCCACACGAAACTCTGCTCCCCGATCACCCCAGTCCTTGCCAGTCCTTGCACTGGCTGCCTGTCCCAGAGAGGATCGATTTCAAGCTCCTCACCCTCGTATTCAAGTCCCTGCGCTCCTCTGCACCCCCTACCTCTCTGACCTCCTCTCTCCTCAAAACAGTACCCGTTGCCTTCGTTCCTCCGGGTCTGGCCTCCTCCTCGTCCCCCGAGTCCTCCGCTCCACCCTCGGAGGCCGTGTCTTCAGCCACTATGCCCCGAGGCTCTGGAACTGCCTTCCTCACTCCCTTCGTCTCGCTCCCTCCCTTCCCATTTTCAGGTCTCTGCTGAAGACCTTTCTTTTCGACCGCCCCTTTGGTCACCTTCCTCCCCCTCCCCTTGGCTCGGTCCCGGGATCCGAAACTGTAAAGCGCTCTGAGTCGCCGTCCGGCGTGGAGGGCGCTATGTAAATCCAAGTTGTTGAAATTGTTGTTGTACTTACGAGTCCTAGCGAGTCGCTCGGTTCTCTCCCGGTGAGTCAGTTGTACTTTCACTCCCAGTTCGAAGCAATTCAAAGTCACAGTTCCCCTCCCAGGCTTATTCAAAAAAAATTATGACAAGCTTCCCCTGTTAGCCTTGGGGATTTATGCGTCAGTCTCAGTTGATTCAGTGTCTGAATCAAAAGGGTGTGGGTTCAAGCACCGCCTTGGAATTTGAACTCACGTGGTCTGTCTGACATTACAATTCATTGTGGTGGGGGGATGTCTGTGTGTGTGTGTGTGTGTGTGTGTGTGTGGGGTGGGGGGGGGGGGGTAATGTTGCATCGACGATGGTACTGTATCAAATGCAAGACCTATTATTATTATTATTATTATTAGTGGTTGTGTGCCCAATCCGAGCTCCTGATTTTACTGTCTCAATCACACAGCCCTCTCTCTCGCACTCACCTGCTGCCGCCTCTCCTCCTCCAGTGGCCTCGGTCGCACCCGGGGCTGTCCTGCCGCGGGCACTCCCAGCCTTCCTCAGGGCAGCTCTGGGGGGAGGTCCTGGGACCCCCGACATCATCATCATCAGCAGCTGCTGTTGCTGCTGGAGCGGGAGACGAGCCTGGAGACGAGTTGCTGCCCTCCAATACATTCCCGGCACAGAGACCCCACCACCTCCTGCTCTCCGCCACTCTCTCCCTCTTTCCGTCACTCTGTCCCTCTCCCTCCCTCACTCTCCCCGTCACTCTCTCCCTGTCTCTCCCTGTCACTCACTCTCTTCCTCTCTCTCTCTCTCTCCCTGTCACTCGCTCCCATTCTCAGTCACTCATTCTGTCTTTCTGTCTTTCTTTCTTTCTTTCTTTTTCTTTCTTTCTCACTCTCTCTCCTTCGCCCAGAAAATATACAGTGAATTCACTCTACAGTATATGCTGTGAAACACTTTGAGAGGTCTCGAAGACGTGATAAGGCGCAATACCAAATGCAAGGATTGTTATTACTATTTTTATATTCACTCACTTTCTCACTCACGCGTTCTGTCCCTCTGTCTCTTTCTTTCTCCCTCACCCACTCCGTCGTTCACGGTGCTTCACTCACTCCTTCTGTTTCACTCTCTTTTTCACTGTCACTTTCTCGGTCTCTCTCTCCCTCACTCTCCCTCCCTCACTGCCTGTCTCACTGCCTGTCCCCCACCCTCACTGCCTGTCTCACTGCCTGTGCCCCTCCCTCACTGCCCGTCTCACTGCCTGTCCCCCTCCCTCACTGCCTGTCCCCCTCCCTCACTGCCTGTCTCACTGCCTGTGCCCCTCCCTCACTGCCCGTCTCACTGCCTGTCCCCCTCCCTCACTGCCTGTCCCCCTCCCTCACTGCCTGTCTCACTGCCTGTCCCCCTCCCTCACTGCCTGTCTCACTGCCCGTCCCCCTCCCTCACTGCCTGTCTCACTGCCCGTCCCCCTCCCTCACTGCCTGTCTCACTGCCTGTCCCCCTCCCTCACTGCCTGTTCCCCTCCCTCACTCCCTCCCTCCCTCACTGCCTGTCCCCCTCCCTCACTGCCTGTTCCCCTCCCTCACTCCCTCCCTCCCTCACTGCCTGTCCCCCTCCCTCACTGCCTGTCTCACTATCTCCCTCCCTCACTGCCTGTCCCCCTCCCTCACTGCCTGTCCCCCTCCCTCACTGCCTGTCTCACTGCCTGTGCCCCTCCCTCACTGCCTGTCTCACTGCCTGTCCCCCTCCCTCACTGCCTGTCCCCCTCCCTCACTGCCTGTCTCACTGCCTGTCCCCCTCCCTCACTGCCTGTCCCCCTCCCTCACTGCCTGTCTCACTGCCCGTCCCCCTCCCTCACTGCCTGTCTCACTGCCTGTCCCCTCCCTCACTGCCTGTTCCCCTCCCTCACTCCCTCCCTCCCTCACTGCCTGTCCCCCTCCCTCACTGCCTGTTCCCCTCCCTCACTGCCTGTCCCCCTCCCTCACTGCCTGTCTCACTATCTCCCTCCCTCACTGCCTGTCTCACTGCCTGTCCCCCTCCCTCACTGCCTGTTCCCCTCCCTCACTCCCTCCCTCCCTCACTGCCTGTCCCCCTCCCTCACTGCCTGTTCCCCTCCCTCACTGCCTGTCCCCCTCCCTCACTGCCTGTCCCCCTCCCTCACTGCCTGTCTCACTGCCTGTCCCCCTCCCTCACTGCCTGTCCCCCTCCCTCACTGCCTGTCCCCCTCCCTCACTGCCTGTCCCCCTCCCTCACTGCCTGTCTCACTGTCTGTCCCCCTCCCTCACTGCCTGTCCCCCACCCTCACTGCCTGTCCCCCACCCTCACTGCCTGTCCCCTCCCTCACTGCCTGTCCCCTTCCCTCACTGCCTGTCTCACTGCCCGTCCCCCTCCCTCACTGCCTGTCCCCCTCCCTCACTGCCTGTCCCCCTCCCTCACTGCCTGTCTCACTGCCTGTCCCCCTCCCTCACTGCCTGTCCCCCTCCCTCACTGCCTGTCCCCCTCCCTCACTGCCTGTCTCACTGCCTGTTCCCCTCCCTCACTGCCTGTCTCTGATTCACACAGGGGGAGGGGGGAGCGGGAGCGGGGGCGGGGCCTGTCCCCGGGGTGGGCGGGGCCTGTGCTCGGGGTGGGCGGGGCCTGTGCTCGGGGGGGGGGTGGGGGGAGGAGCCAGCGAGCGAGCGAGCGGCCACCACCACGCGCGCTCCTACGTCACACAGGCCGGCGGCGGGCGGCGGGGGGCGGGGGAGCCGCGCCCACAACACCTTACGCCACCCACCCACGCGCGCGCGCGGGCGCGCGCTGCAATCGCGTCGCCGGAACAGCGTCACGTGGCCTTGTACCTGCCGCCGGCGGGGAGCGACGACCAGGAGACGGTTAGTGACGTAGATGACCTGATGACTTCACACCCCCCCCCCCCACCCACCCCCGCCCGAATGACGTCACTGGCTCGGCCAGTGTCGGGTAGGACCTTCCCGGGAGCGAAGCCCAACAGGGAATGGGCCGCACTGCAGACACCGGACCCCCAAACCCGCATCGCTGGGAACACGCGACAGGTCATGAAGTCCACCCCCGGCTCCCCTTCCCATCCCAGGTCCCTGAGAGAGCCGCGGCCTCCCAGCTCCGCTCTTTCCTCTCCTCTCCGCCCACTCCCGCCACGAACCCCTCCCAACAGCGCGGAAACCGCTCCGGTCCAGGTCCCGAACGACACCCTGACCCTGTGCGGCCAGAGGCTCCCCTCTGCCTCCCCGTCCTCCTCGACCTCTCCGCCGCCTTTGACACCGTGGACCGCCGCCTCCTCTCCTCCCACCTCAGCCCCCGAGGTTCTGTCCGTGACCGGCTCAGGTCCTACCCTGCACACCGCCTCCACTTTGTCGCGGCAAACGGCTTCTCCTCCGGCCCCCGCACCGTCTCGTGCGGTGTTCCTCAGGGCTCTGTCCTCGGTCCCCTCCTCTTCACCCTCCACATGCTCCCCCCTTGGTGACGTCATCCGCAGACATGGGGTAAATTGCCACATGTATGCGGCTGACACTCAACTCTACTTCTCTGACTCCACCCTGAACTCCAGGACTACTGAGGTCCTGACCGACTGCCTGTCCGACATCAAGTTCTGGACGAGGGACAACTTTCTCCAACTCAACCCCTCCGCACCTCGGGCACCGACAGCATCAGCCTCCACGGCTGCACACTCAACCTCACTAAGCCCTGTCAGGAACCTGGGTGTCTTGTTTGACCCTGAACCGTCCTTTCTCACCCAAATCCACGCTATGACCGGCATTGCCTACCACCACCTACGCAATATTGCCAGACTCGCCACTGCCTCACTCACCCCTCAGGCTGCCAAACCCTCACCCACGTCTTCGTCACCTCAAGGCTTGATTATGGGAACTCCCTCCTCATCGGCCTTCCCAACTCTTCCCTTCACAAGCCGCAGATCATCCAAAACTCTGCAGCTCGTGTACTCTCGCGCACCAGGCTCCGCGACCCCATCACTCCCACCCTCGCCCGACTCCACTGGTTCCCCATCCCCCAGAGGATCGAGTTCAAGATCCTCGTCCTCACCTTTAAAGCCACCCATGGCCTTGCGCCCTCCTAGCTCTGATCTGCTGACTCCCTACGAGCCTGTCCGCTCCCTATGTTCATCGGGCTGTGGCCTGCTCCATGTCTCCCGCCCGACCTGCCCTACCATCGGTGGCCGGGCTTTCAGCCTCTCTGCCCCTACACTCTGGAACTCCATTCCACGGTCCCTTTGCATTGCTTCCTCCCGTGCCTCCTTCAAGGTCGGTCTCAAGTCCTTTCTCTTTGACCGTGCCTTTGGTCTCCCTTCCACCTCTCTGCCTTCCCTCACCCCTACACCATCCCTCCTCCCCCACGCTCGGGCCCCAACACCTGACTGTTCAGGATTTGGGACGTCCTCCCGGTGTGAAAGGCGCACTATAAATGTAATTTTGTTGTTATTGTCAGAGTTCACAAGGCACTGGGAAAAGTTCTAAACCAGGGCATCTGATTTAGGATGAATTTGTTCCCCAGAGTACAGTCCCAGAGTATTCAGCTCAACATCCTTGTCCTCACTTTGAAACCTCTCCACTGCAACCCCCCACCCCCTTCCATACAACCCTAACTCCGCCTACTCCCTCCACCCCGTCCCCACCGTCGGCAACCTTTCTGGCCCCATTCTTTGGAACTTCATCCCGGAGTCCCTCTGCCTCGTCCATTCCCTCCTCTCCTCCAAGGTGCATCTCAAGACATTTCTCTTTGACCGGCGGCTTCGGTCATCTTCCCCCCCCCACCACCACCACCACCCGCGCACACATGCCTCTTGATTCTAAACTACAGCTCAGGTGTAAACTCTCGACTGTCCAGCGACACGAAAGGAGCTACATAAATGTAATTTGTTGTCGTTTGTTGTAGTATTGCAGAGCTGACTCAGTAAACAGGCTGCTCAGATCACCACAGAGAATTGCTGTGATTCAGCAAACGGCCAAATAGTGCTTGAGTTTCCCACGTAGCGCCATGTTCCAATTTTCATACTCAGTCCGAACGGATTGACGGCTGCGTTCACCTACAAATACACAACCACTGCACTTCACAATAAAATGAAGCATTTTGAGATATCTCAATAATGTGGGGCTATATCAAAATGCAAAGACTATTATTTAAGATTTTGTTGGGTTTTTTTAGACATTCCTATTGATTCTAATTCTATAACTTTCTGGAGCAGAAAATTCCTCATCTTCACAACCCTCTGTTTTTTTGGCCTTCAGTTCTAACTGTCTTGGTTCTGGTTTTAAGGCTATGTACTCTTGTAATGGATCCCTCCACCAAAGGGAAGAATTTTCCACTATTTAACTTGGCATTGTCTTTCAAAGCATACAACGTGGGGAACACCGGCACCTTGTGGCCCTTCAGTGTGTTACAACACATTTAATGTGAGATTAGATTGAAGAATACTCTTTGGCCAATTTGACTTGGTGGCGCACTTAATAATAATAATCCTTGCATTTGATATAGCGCTTTTCACGTCTTCTAGACGTCTCAAAGCGCTTCACAGAATATACTGTAAAGTGAAATTGACTGTATATTTTGTGGGTGAAATTTACCTCTCAATCATATCGAAAGATTGTGGGTCCAAACTCCACATTAGGACTTTGAACTTGAACATAGACTAGCCTGACTTTCGAAGCAAGGAGTTTGCATAGTCGAGCTTCGATGTAATGAAAGTGTGTATGAAGGTTTCGGGGGCCTGCGGTGTGAGACAGTGGCAGAGCCAGGAGATGTTGTGGAGGTGGGGGAAGACAGAGTGGGTCATGGCATAGATGTGGGATAGAAAGGATAGTTGAGGGTTCAACAAGACCTCAAGGTTCTGGACTGGCTTAGTAATGTGGAGTGTGCAACCATGGATGGTGATGCTGTCAGCACCTGAGATGAGGAGGCGCTGACGGGAGCTAATCAGGAGAGCCTCAATCTTGTTAACGTTCAACTGAAGAAAATTAACTCTCATCCAGGACTTGATGGTCCTGGCGTCAAGGGTGGAGGCAGAGAGGTAGAGTTGGGTGTCATCTACAAATATGTGGACGTTGACCCCATGTCTGTGGATGATGTCACCAAGAGGGAGCACATAGATATTGAAGAGGAGGGGACCAAGGACAGAGCCCTGAGGAACGCCATATGAGACGGTGCGGGGGCTAGAGGAGAAAATGTTTATGGGGATGAAGTGGAGGTGGTGTGAGAGGTACAATCTGAACCAGTCAAATTAACCCTGTGTAAAAGTAATAATACTCCACGTTTTCAAAGAACTGTGCATTCTTTAACGGTGCAAATTAAAATGTTGCATTGTGCAGATACATCATTTTCTGCAAACTAAACAGCTCTCTCAGCTAAATGGCAAGAGGCAAGACTGATTGTAGATTACAGGCCAAATCAATATTGTTGGCGCTGAAGCAGAATATGGCTTGTCAGTTGTGCAAATGAAAAATTGGGATATTTAGAGAAATAAAAAGCCTTTATAGATGTACCAAAGACTGATGCTGCGATGCTCCTGTCATCAACAAAGCACAGCACAAAACGTGTACATTAAGCTAGCAGGGCTCACTAAATGAAAGAGAGAATGGATTTATTTGGAACCTTGTTGGAAAATGTGTTTTAAATAACAAGAACAGCAACGTGCATTTATATAGAGCCTTTCATTTGGGGTAGCGTCTCGGAGTGCTTATCAGTGGGGTACGTTTGATGCCGAGCTGGGAAAACATGGGAGGTGGCAGCAGGCACGATCGAAAAGGAAAGCCTTCAGGTGTGATCTGAAGATGGGCAAAGGTGGAGGGATTGGGGCAGGGAGTTCCAGAGGACAGTGATTGAGAGCACAATGATAAAATAATCTATCAAAGATTATACTCAAGTTCTGACTGATTTTAGCTGTGGATCACCACCTCTTGGGAGGCTTTTTGTGAATTGTGCTCCATTTTCCAATGACTGCATTTTACTGGTCAGATGGGTGTCTGACACACGTGGAAACCCATCACCACGTTTAGGATAAGAGTATTCAAAATCAGACAGAATTCCATAAATATATGCCACCAATATACAGAAGTTTCTCTGTGTCTTGAATGGAGTGCGCGTTTTCTCCCTGGAGAGATGCATCCTGCTTACTTAATTAGAGAATGTCAAGCGCAGGTTGACTTGCTCAATCCCTCCCTTCGTTCAAGGCATGTCTCAAAATGTACGTCTTTGTGCTTTTGGTCATCTTTCCCCTCACGCCCTCGGCTTCCACCCCCATGTGCAGGGTGCCCACACAGCACTGTGAAGTGCTTTGAGACGTCCTCCCCACGTGAAAGACACTGCTTACATGTAAATTGATGCTGTATTGTTCTCGGGTTTCTTCCTAAATCCGACTTTCTGTGTCCTGTCACAGATTATATTGTATCTGTACCTAAGGTTTATCGGTATAATAATCTGCATTAATCTCCACTAATTAATATTACAATAAGAATTTAAATAAGAAGCTAATCTTCCCAGGATGTTTTGTCCCACCACCACCCTCCAGTTTTCTCCGCTCTCCTGAAAGTGATGATTCATGCAAGTGGTAGGCTTTGGTGGCACAGAGTGCCACTCTCTCTGCCACCAAAGCTGGACTCACAGAGTGCCATAGATCCTGTGTTGCCTTTGCTTTGTGTGGAACATTCATTCTATAAACTTTGTGGGTGACGTGGCCGTGCGTTTTATGTTCCAGTCCTTGTTGGTGAAAATTGTGGTCCATTTTAGCGCTTATTATTTCTGTCAGTATAACTGGCAAAAATGTCATTTGTTTCGTCTATGACTTCTGCTGCTGTTGTGGCCTCAAGATTTCAAAATACTTTGATGTGCAAGTCCACCACTATTA